TTCATGTTGTTTGCAACAATTTGGTAGAATACAAAGAACGTAACTCTGAGTCAAAGAGGAGGAGGTTTTGCGCTGTAGAATCGAGCAAGAACCTTGTTTTCTAGAACTGCTAAAGCTTCAGATGAGGAGTTGATACATACGGGTGTCTTGTACTGAGCAATCGAACCCCCTAAGGAGACGAAATATTCCATGAGAGAATCAAATGCTCCTTGTTGCACCACTCTTATCTCTAGAGCTCCTATAGTTCGATCTTCACTCCTATTTCTTCTATATAGTTCATCAAATGATTCCTCTAATACAGAGCAACATTTCACCATTACTTTCTTATCAAGCTCAAAAACATCGTTACCGCCTTTAGCTTTGAGTTCCCAGTAAAAAACATAGTGACCTGGAAAGGTGGAGATATCTGCATAGCATGTGAAGCCCATCAACATTAAATTTGAAGATTCAAGAACAACGGTCGCATGAGCAGAGGCCTTTAAAAGCTCATCTTCAGTTGTTGTCTCTGATTTGACGCTTAAAACCACATTTTTTCTGTGTACAAATCTAAATTGAGGTGTGTTATTGTAAAATCCAGTCACCTGTAGAATATCTCCAATAAGATATCTGTGCAAACCGAAATAATTAGTAACCACTGGTTCATAGTAGCACCCTAACTTGACATCAGCAAGATCAACAATACTGGTCATGTCTCCCTCATGATCAACAGGTAGAAACTCGAAGTAGGAGATGTTGGGCGCAAATGTATAGGAGACATCTTGTGGTTTGCATAGAGGATCCACATTCATCCCAAATGTACTTTCAGAAGACCCATAAGTTGTAGAAACTAAAGGAAGTTTGTTGGAATAAAAATCCAATGTTGGAATGTATTGAGCCATTTGTCCTGTAATAATGCAGTCAATATATTTGGCTTTAGGCAAAAGTTGTGAGATGATACCAAATGTATTGAGACATCTTGTGGTTTGCATAGAGGATCCACATTCATCCCAAATGTACTTTCAGAAGACCCATAAGTTGTAGAAACTAAAGGAAGTTTGTTGGAATAAAAATCCAATGTTGGAATGTATTGAGCCATTTGTCCTGTAATAATGCAGTCAATATATTTGGCTTTAGGCAAAAGTTGTGAGATGATACCTTCCCATGACTTGTTGCTGCATTCTTGTTCAATCACATCAGCCAATTTGGGATTAGGTCCTCCAAGAATGGTTGTAACAGCGTTTTTGCAATTAAGGTCAGTGATCCACTCACTAACATGACCTGATCGGATGTTGCTACACAATTCCTTCCAGTTATTCTTCAGAAAATCGATTGCTCGGACCAAGACATAAGCAAAGGTTGCACCAACACTCACAACCTCGTCTCGCTGGACAAGCCCGCATAAAAAGTGGCAGTACAAACTCTGTTTGTAGTCAGGGCACAATATAACTTGGTCAGGGCTTGTGTACTCAGAATTACACTTTGATGGTCGGTTTTTGAAGTAATCGCTCATGAAGAAGCTTGAAAATACTGCAGTAATTGGTAAACCGGAGGGTGTTGCGGATGGCGGTTTAGTGCAATGAAACTCCATCGCCTTTCCTTTCTCGCCACCGCTATCAAAATGCCTATAATCCAGAACAAGATCGAACTTAGTGGTGGAAGTAGTTAAAGATTAAATATACTATTAGAAGTCATTATATGTGTAATAACACTTAGAGAAGGAATTACTTGGACACAGCAAGAGATTGTAGAGCGATAACGTATCCAAGCTTCTTAATGTACATATCGTTCACCGGAAATATCTTTTGTTTCCCTCCTGAAGTTCCGGTGCTACACAACAAATCCTCAAACAAATAGACTACTATATAGGTAGAGTCATACCAAGCAACCAAACAGCTTCAAATCAAAACTAGTTGATCCATTAACTGCCATAAGATAAATTTACCTTCGGAGGAACATAGTGATAGCTCCACCTGAAATCACATCTGAGGGCTCTCCATTCGCAACACGTTCGATATAAGGCTTAACATCATCATAGGTAACCACCGGAACGTTCTTTTTGAAAAGCTCTTTATCAGAGCTCCCGTGGAGGAAGCGGTGAAGATATTCAGTGTTAGCATTAAGTGTGAGTATCTCTTCCAATATGTCTTCTTGTATCTGCTCATTCGATGTTAGCTCTTCCAGATCCAATATCAGATTGAAACTTGGACTCATATTTCAATAAAATTTACTTTTTAATTAATTTGGTTTTTGATCCTCAATATCTCTGCTAAGGGGTAATAGCAGTATATAACAACACTAAACAAACTAACTTGTATGTTTGTTTGACCCAAAAAAAACTAATTTGTATAGAAAATATCACAACTGATTTGTTTTATTTGTATAGATTATTACGCACGTCAGAACTTGGAAAATTGTGCGAATCTATTAGACAACAAATACAAATTAAGCTGTCCAATATATTAATTTATTTGTGTATTAAAGGATAGGAACATGCTATTAGATTATAAGTTATAACTAAGTAGAAACATATTTATTTCTAATCTATATCTATATCTATATATATAACAATATTTGAGAAGTGTTTTTGCTGACGTGTCGGACTCTCGGCTCTTGTTGAGCCCTTGATTTTGCGTAATTACTTAAATACCCTCTATTAAATTAATTCGAATATTAATTAAAATTAAAAAAAATAACTGACCATAAAATATAAAAATTCGATATATTTTACATTTTTAAAAATAGTAATATTCTTAAACACGAAAAAATGAAAAAAATAAATAAATTTGGATCAAATGTAGTTTACATACCTTTTTATGACGGTTTATCGTTCGACCAAGAACATCCAATGACCACCAAGAACTTGTTATCCTACCATAAAACATACATTCATAGCAATAACAGAAATTTGGCAATTTAATGATAGAAAACCACCTTTTGATCTGTTGAATCATCATAGAAAACCATCATATTGGCCATCCTTTGTCTTTAAACCATCATATTGATATGATCTTGCATCCTACAATTGCAACCAATCAAACAAACTATTCTTTTAAATTACCTTAGATAATAAAGAGACTAATGAGTTTCGTGGGAAAGATTTTCAGGATATTCGTTTTGGAGCATGCACAAAATCGACGGGTATATTAATCTCCACCAATCTAATCATGGTCGTGAGTCACATACAATTACGTCGGAGAAAGGATTGGTCGTGTCTTCTTCTTTTCTCTTCCTTTTCCGTGTTTTTTTATCCTTTTTGGTTCTTTTTGTTTTTTTTTCAACAAAAGATGTGTCTCATAATTAATCGTTTAATTATATTTTTGATATATTAATGATAAATTTATGTTGTGATAATTACGAGCCAATTGTTTTTAAAAGTAAAATTTACTTTTCTAAAATATATAGATATTGCCGATAATATCAAAACAACTATCATATATTCTTTAAATTCACAAATCTGATAAAATAAAAGCAACTTTCTTTTATATTTTATACCGATAATGATGGTGTAGCTAAAAAAATGTCAAATATAATTGTAAATCTAAAAAAAATTATGTTATTGTTCCATTTTTTAACAAATAAAATAAGGAATATTTTTTTATAATTAATATCCATAGTAATTATTAATTGTTTTTAGGAATATTAATTGTTTTATAAAGATTTGATCTAACACAATATATAAATCTTCCTTTCTTGTTGTTGTAATTATCTTCAAAAATTAAAAAATTTTGATCGTACACCGCCTTTCAGTTTAATATAAATACCTTCTCTAGGTTTCACTTTCAAATCATAACTAACCCCATTTTTTTTGCTTTCTATTTTTTTTTTTTGCGTTTTATTTTATTTGGCTTTACACATATGAATTCATGGTGTTTATGTATGGTTATAGGTTACGGATGCAACGTCGTTAAACAATTCAAGGACAATTAAATTGCTGATTCAATCGAACATATGGTGAGTTTTTCACTTTAGTACTTTCATGTTTAATATTTAAATTATGCTTGGATGTATTGAGAAATCTATAAGCTTTCCCATAATATTTTGCGAGCAGCTTAGATTTCATATTCTTCACTAAAAAAAAAAAAGCTTTGATTTTGTATTTACCATATTCTTCACTAAAAAAAAAGAAGCTTTGATTTTGTATTTACATAATTTGATATCAGTTTGATTATTGCTTCCATCATGATGCAAATTACGGCCTCTCAACAACCCTAATAGACTATAATCGTTGGGAACTCTTCTTTTTCTCTTGCTTCTCTCTGATTATCTTTCACCAGGAGTCTCAATTATTATTATTTCTTTGTATTGATGCGATCAGAAGTTTTATCTCTTTTTTAAATACTGATCTCTTTGTGGATTTTTCATTTAGGTATGAACATGTTCGTTTCACGGGGTGTTTCGGTGTCTTGCCTTAAATCAAGGCGTGTAAAAACGTAAAGCTTGTTTTTATCTATCTATTTTTATTGTCACGTCTTTATCCATCTATGTAACGCTTAATCATCAATTATTATATTAAACTTCAATAAAGGCAACAACATCTTGGTTGGTTTGTTTTATCTGATTAGTGTACCAAATTCAATTGGAACTATATCAGATCCATGAAATTATTGATTATTGATACATGCAGGTTATGTGTGATCCTTATACACCAGCTGGCGTTCCATTTCCAACCAACAAGAGGCACAACGCTGCTAAAATTTTCAGACACCCATCGTTGCCTCCGAGGAGCCTCTATATATAACAATATTTGAGAAGTGTTTTTGCTGACGTGTCGGACTCTCGGCTCTTGTTGAGCCCTTGATTTTGCGTAATTACTTAAATACCCTCTATTAAATTAATTCGAATATTAATTAAAATTAAAAAAATAACTGACCCTAAAATATAAAAATTCGATATATTTTACATTTTTAAAAATAGTAATATTCTTAAACACGAAAAAATGAAAAAAATAAATAAATTTGGATCAAATGTAGTTTACATACCTTTTTACGACGGTTTATTGTTCGACCAAGAACATCCAATGACCACTAAGAACTTGTTATCCTACCATAAAACATATATTCATAGCAATAACAGAAATTTGGCAATTTAATGATAGAAAACCACCTTTTGATCTGTTGAATCATCATAGAAAACCATCATATTGGCCATCCTTTGTCTTTAAACCATCATATTGATATGATCTTGCATCCTACAATTGCAACCAATCAAACAAACTATTCTTTTAAATTACCTTAGATAATAAAGAGACTAATGAGTCTCGTGGGAAAGATTTTCAGGATATTCGTTTTGGAGCATGCACAAAATCGACGGGTATATTAATCTCCACCAATCTAATCATGGTCGTGAGTCACATACAATTACGTCGGAGAAAGGATTGGTCGTGTCTTCTTCTTTTCTCTTCCTTTTCCGTGTTTTTTTTTTATCCTTTTTGGTTCTTTTTGTTTTTTTTTTCAACAAAAGATGTGTCTAATAATTAATCGTTTAATTATATTTTTGATATATTAATGATAAATTTATGTTCTGATAATTACGAGCCAATTATTTTTAAAAGTAAAATTTACTTTTCTAAAATATATAGATATTGCCGATAATATCAAAACAACTATCATATATTCTTTAAATTCACAAATCTGATAAAATAAAATAAACTTTCTTTTATATTTTATACCGATAATGATGGTGTATCTAAAAAAATGTCAAATATAATTGTAAATCTAAAAAAAATTATGTTATTGTTCCATTTTTTAACAAATAAAATAAGGAATATTTTTTTATAATTAATATCCATAGTAATTATTAATTGTTTTTAGGAATATTAATTGTTTTGATAAAGATTTGATCTAACACAATATATAAATCTTCCTTTCTTGTTGTTGTAATTATCTTCAAAAATTAACAAATTTAGATCGTACACCGCCTTTCAGTTTAATATAAATACCTTCTTTAGGTTTCACTTTCAAATCATAACTAACCCCATTTTTTTTGCTTTCTATTTTTTTTTTTTTTTTGCGTTTTATTTTATTTGGCTTTACACATATGAATTCATGGTGTTTATGTATGGTTTATAGGTTACGGATGCAACGTCGTTAAACAATTCCAGGACAATTAAATTGCTGATTCAATCGAACATATGGTGAGTTTTTCACTTTAGTACTTTCATGTTTAATATTTAAATTATGCTTGGATGTATTGAGAAATCTATAAGCTTTCCCATAATATTTTGCGAGCAGCTTAGATTTCATATTCTTCACTAAAAAAAAAATAAGCTTTGATTTTGTATTTACCATATTCTTCACTAAAAAAAAATAAGCTTTGATTTTGTATTTACATAATTTGATATCAGTTTGATTATTGCTTCCATCATGATGCAAATTACGGCCTCTCAACAACCCTAATAGACTATAATCGTTGGGAACTCTTCTTTTTCTCTTGATTCTCTCTGATTATCTTTCACCAGGAGTCTCAATTATTATTATTTCTTTGTATTGATGCGATCAGAAGTTTTATCTCTTTTTTAAATACTGATCTCTTTGTGGATTTTTCATTTAGGTATGAACATGTTCGTTTCACGGGGTGTTTCGGTGTCTTGCCTTGAATCAAGGCGTGTAAAAACGTAAAGCTTGTTTTTATCTATCTTTTTTTATTGTCAGGTCTTTATCCATCTATGTAACGCTTAATCATCAATTATTATATTAAACTTCAATAAAGGCAACAACATCTTGGTTGGTTTGTTTTATTTGATTAGTGTACCAAATTCAATTGGAACTATATCAGATCCATGAAATTATTGATTATTGATACATGCAGGTTATGTGTGATCCTTATACACCAGCTGGTGTTCCAATTCCAACCAACAAGAGGCACAACGCTGCTAAAATTTTCAGACACCCATCATTGCCTCCGAGGAGCCTTGGTATGCTCATCTTCTTCTTTTTTGGCTATACATATTATTTTCGTTACTATAAATTCTAATAGTGTTTGTTTTTTTAAACGATTGTATGTTTTGGATGAATGAAAGCAACCACGATGCATGAAGAAGATTCAAGTGATGTTTCAATTGATCTTTTATCTTTAATTTATCGATTTTCTAATTTTACAAAAATGTTCTCACTGAGTAGAATATACTTTTGAGTTTTGAGTTAAATCTTTCACAGTCTGTTGTGGATTAGCAACGTTTCAAGCCATATTAACTATTGTGTTGTGGCAGTTCGAAAGATTCATATAAATTGGACTATTGCTACAAAAAAAAACAGAATCACAGGTTCAATTCTATCAAAGGAGATAAAGCCTCTTATCTCTACTGTCTTTGAGGGTAAAGATGCTAATGTCATCGCCCACGGAGCAAGAAATTGCGGAAAAACACATCTCATACATGTATTGAAAGCAATCCCATTAAGGTATTGACTATCAGACATGATACTATAGATGAAAAATGCTAATTATTGTATCGTATGGTTTGTAGGGAAATGATAGGGAGCTTGGTTTAACCGTTCTTACAATGTCTGAGATGCTATCCATGGCTGTATCAGTTTCTGTATCAGTTTACGAGGTTTCTCAGGAAACCGTGTATAACCTTTTAGACCAAGAGAAGCGAGTGGTTGCTGTACTGGAAGGTGCACAAGGGAAAATTCAACTAAAGGGACTTCCTCAGGCAAGTCATTTATTGTTCTTGATCATTAAGTCTTGGAACGTCATATGTATTTTGCAGATTAGCATCATTAATATTTCAATGTTTCTGCTTTCAGGTACCTATGAAGTCACTCTCAGAATTCCATAAAGGTGTGATGATACATGTTACCACTGGCAACGCCAATCCAGGCTCCCTTGGGAGGATGAACTTTCTTGATATGGCAGGTTGAGTATTTTAATATCACATTTTAATTGTCTTTTCTATGTGATGATCTTATGTCAGCATGTGATTTGTGTTGTCTTTCTCTGATAGGATATAAGGATTCTGATAGAAGCAGTTAAAAGACTAATTACTATTTACTAAGGTTTCAATTTAACCAAGGTTTATTATGAGGGTAAACCATAGTTGGTTTAGCTTTTCTTGTTTGGTCTATGTCTATATATATATAATGTCTGAGAGAGTTGTGAGGGTCTTTTATCGAGTAATTGGAGAAATCTTAGGGGGAGTGGGAGGAGCTCCATTGTCAAATTCCTCGAGTCCTTGTAATTCTCGTCTTGATAATCTATGAAATACCTTTTTCTATAAACTACTCGTATCAGATTCCAGGAAACAAAACAGTGCTCTAGCTCCTCTAGAGATTGCCAGAGTTAATACTTTGATATATGCTTTACAGAATGTCATGTATGCTCTCAACGGAAATGAATCCCATGTGCCATATCGGGAGAGCAAACTCACTCGAATGCTGAAAGATTGTTTAAAAGGATGCAACAGACGTTGCTGATCACATGCTTGATATACTTTTCTTGCTGTTGAGTTCGTTTTAAGTTTATGATTCACTGAATGTAACTGCAGGCGATGCTAACCCTTTTGTTTTTTTTTTAGCCTCGGGAATATAGCCCAAACTCCTTTTACATGTTAAACTTAGCATCACAGATCTGTCTAGGTAGTAACCGAGCCATGACTAATCCTACTAAGAAGAAGATCAACGGTCTTGAAAGATCTATTTCATTATGCTCTGCTGCTCAAAGGAAACAGACACCTTTGACTGTGTCTGCTACTTCTAGAAAACAGACAGTGCTAAGGGAAAATGTGACAGAGAGAAAAGACTAAAATCAACACTGCTGCTTCTGCAATTAAAGCAAGGTAAATCTTTCAGAAACAACTTTGTATCAACTCTAAGCCTCAATATCCATGATATACCTGCATCTGCTCTGTTGTTCAGTTTTAGAACATCAAATAATGATGATTTTTTTTCTCAATGTTTGAAGGAAACTGTTCCGGGAAGCAAACGATTCGGTGAAATGTAAAAATAGCATGTTGGAAAATTTAATTAATACGTCATGAAGTTGAACAATCTAGATTCTTCCTTTACAAAGAGGTAAAACAGAGGGTATAGAAACAGAGACTAAGAGACCAAGAGTCTTAATTAAGGAGGTTTGGTATACCACTTAACCCTAATCAATCCACTACTTACTTGATAAAGACATATTCTCATCATGTATATTTGATTAGATTAGCTAGGCTCGTAATATGGGACAAAACCCCGAAGATGAGCAAGAAATGCTTTGAAAGATTTTATCGTAGCATGAGTGTCATATCTACACCCTTCAGTGCTCCCTTGTAAAATCAGAGTATCTGAGTATAGATACTTAATAGGTTTAAGTGTTCTTCGATCTTGGACGATATGTTCCAACTTATACTGATACAGAGGTTATACAGATTTTTGGTTTCTCTAATAAAATAAATTATTTGCTGAAAGATTGCTATACCTTTAACAATTTTATTTTGTTTGTTAGGGTCACGACATACATACTATAATTGATAGAGAGTATTATCGTCATCGTGGATTCAAGTTTTTCCAAGGACGATGGATACATGGCCGGCCCTATAGACATCAACAAGAAACTTTTGCTGTAGCCCAAATTTTGTTTCTGAAATTCTTCAACAAAAATTATTTACGAAACGGCCCTAATTTTATTTATTTTACTATAATTGGCCCTAAATTTTAAAACCTTTCAAAATAACCAAATTTTTTTTTTTGGAGTATTTGGCCCTTCAAATCTCAGGGCAGGCCCTGGATGGATAACACTTAGAGATTTTGATTCATGTTATCGGTTCGCTTAGTCCTACTTTTTATGATTTTAAAATTCATTGGAATTTATCAATCTTTGTTTCACATATACCTTCCTTGGGTGCGATTGATTACTGCGCATTCGCATCTTTTAGGAAAATTGATACTTAGTTTTGAGTATGTTTATTTCCCTGGTCCCATAATATCTTTTGTTTGGATATTTTATTCTTTGCATTGTAATGGTTTGATCTATTAATTTAAATAATTATATTTAATTGGTTGGGTCGTGAGTGTTAGCAATATTGAAGACGGAAAACCAATAATAAAGTGTGGGATCAAGTTTATGTGGAATTAGAAGATGAATTGTAAGTTATTAATTTAATCAAAATTAGATTTGTTATAGTTTAATTTGGGTAGTATGCTAAAAACTTAATTTTATAATAAATTTACGTCTATAATGTCGACTACATGGTGGATAATGTTGTAAATTTTTGAGAGAACGGAGTAAACAATGCGATAATATCACCATATTTATCATGAGATTCACTAGAATAGAAGTCACTCGAGGTATTCGAATATTGTTGTTTTTCATGTATATATAATTTCTGAATATTTATTAGTCGATCACGTTTCTATGATATTGTTTCTTATGGTTTTGGCTACTATTGTTTGCAATGGCACCCGAATGATGCTAAAAAATATGTGTGCTGAAAGTTGCAGGAATGCGGAGTTGTTTTGTGCTAAGGATCACAAAATTTTTTATTAGTTACTAAGCTTATCTATTTTTTTTGTTTCCATTTTTCCGAATTATTTTTTCCTAAACATGTAAATATGATCTAAAATGAAGTTTGAGGCTTTACAAAAGATAAATAATTACACAAAAGCAACATTGGCAAAAAAAGAGATAAAAACAAGACTACAGTAGAGTAAAGAAAGATTTGGAAATAGATAACGAATCCAAATAAGCATAAGCTTTGTTCATCTCGAAATGATGATGTTTCGTAGCTCCACTCCACCATCTTGAAAATGATTTGAGCAGCAAGCCGCAAGGAGTTATGGAGAATGTTATTATGATGTCGCCAGAACTTATAGACCACCACTTGAGATGCTACTTTTCTAAGCAAAGAAGGCACATGACTGGAAGAGCGTAATGTCCAAGAAAATAGCTCAATCCAAGAGCAAAACAACCTTTGTTGCGGAAAAATCCTAGAGAAAACTAAATTCCACACCTGGAAAGAGCTCACAAAGGAGCAGAAGGTGATCATGAGACTTCGTAACAAAAATGCAAAGACGACACTCATCAGATTGAAGAGCATTAGGACAAAGAAAGTAACTCAGCCTAAGAGCAAAACAACTTTTGTCGAGAACAAATCCTAGAGAAAACTAAATTCCACACCTGGGAAGAGCTCACAGAGGAGCATGAGGTGATACCGAGACTCTGTTGCAAAAGTGTAAAGACAACACTCATCAGATTGAATTTGTTCCCAAGAAGCCAGTCTTTGATGAGAAGGCAATTCTTTAAAAGTGTAAGGAGAGGAAGAGCGTTGGGTCCAATAAAGTAGCTCAGCCCAAGAGTCTAACAACCTTTGTTGAGGATAAGGCCTAGAGAAAATCAAATTTCCCACCTCAGAAAAGCTCACAGAGGAGCAGGATGTGATCCTCAGACTCCGTAGCAAAAGTGCATAGACAACACTCATCGGATTGAATTTTTCCCTAGGAAACCAGTCTTTAATGACTGGAGAGGACGATTGGAGATTTATTTAAGTGTCTCAACAGAAGAAGAGCGCCAGGTGCCAGAAAGTAGCTCAACCCAAGAGCAAAACAACCTTTGTGGAGGATAAATCCTAGAGAAAACCAAATTCCACACCTTGAAAAAGCTCACAGAGGAACACGAGGTGATCCCGAGACTCCGTTGCAAAAGTGCAAATACAACACTTGCCCCCAAGAAGCCAGTCTTTGATGAGTGGGCAATTATTTAAGTGACTCTCGACGGTTCAAGAAAGTAGCTCAAGCCAAGAGCAAAACAACCTTTGTCGAGGACAAAGCCTAGAGAAAACTAAATTACACACCTGGGAAGAGCTCACAGAGGAGCAAGAGGTGATCTCGAGACTCTGTTGCAAAAGTACAAAGACAACACTCATCAGATTGAATTTATCTCCAAGAAGCCAGTCTTTTACGAGTCGGCAATTATTTAAAAGTGTAAGGAGAGGAAGAGCGTTGGGTCCAATAAAGTAGCTCAGCCCAAGAGTAAAACAACCTTTGTTAAGGATAAGGCCTAGAGAAAATCAAATTTCCCACCTCGAAAGAGCTCACAGAGGAGCATGAGGTGATCCTGAGACTCCGTTGCAAAAGTGCGTAGACAACACTCCTCGAATTGAATTTGTCCCCAGGAAACCAGTCTTTAACGACTGGAGAGGACGATTAGAGTGAGATTTATTTAAGTGTCTCAACCGAAAAAGAGCGTCAGGTGCCAAAAAGTAGCTCAACACAAGAGCAAAACAACCTTTGTGGAGGATAAATCCTAGAGAAAACCAAATTCCACACCTTGAAAAATCTCACAGAAGAACACGAGGTGATCCCGAGACTCCGTTGCAAAAGTGAAAATACAGCACTTGGCCCCAAGAAGCCAGTCTTTGATGAGTGGGAAATTATTTAAGTGACTCTCGACGGTCCATGAAAGTAGCTCAGGCCAAGAGCAAAACAACCTTTATCGAGGAAAAACCCTATAGAAAACTAAATTTCACACCTGGGAAGAGCTCACAGAGGAGCAAGAGGTGATCTCGGGACTCCGTTACAAAAGTACAAAGACAACACTCATCGGATTAAATTTGTCCCTAAGAAGCCAGTCTTTTACGAGTCGGCAATTATTATGTGACTCTAGAGAGAAAGAGTGCCGGGTCCAAGAAAGTAGCTTAGTCCAGGAGCACAACAACCTTTGTCGAGGATAAAGCCTAGCGAAAACTAAATTCCACACCTAGGAAGAGCTCACAGAGGAGGATGAGGTGATCCCGAGACTCCGCTGAAAAAGTGCAAAGACAACACTCATTTGATTGAATTTGCTCCCAAGAACCCAATCTTTGACGAGTTAACAATTATTTAAGTATCTCATGGGTAGAAGAGCGTCGGTCCAAGAAGTATCTCAGTCCAAAATCAAAACAATCTTTGTCGAGGATAAATCCTAGAGAAAACCAAATTCCATACCTCGAAAGATCTCACAGAGGAGCAGGAGGTCATCCCATACTCTGTTACAAAAGTACAAAAACAACACTCATCAGATTGAATTTTCTCCCAAGAAGCCAGTCATTGACGAGTGGGCAATTATTTAAAATAGTCTGGAGAGGAAGAGCATGATATCAAAATTAACGTAAGAGTTTTGACATCAATATCTTTAGGATAATGGAAGGAGTTTCCAAATGAACATAATCTTTAAACTTCAATGTCTTGTAAAAATTGAAGGATTTTGTAAGTTAACATAATATTGTCGATGTCACATTATTGTCATTGTCACATTATTAAATTCGAAGTCAAGAACTATTGGTACCTTCGAAATTTCTGTTGTTTGTAGTTGTGAGCGTCTCCGGTATCGACTACCGTGGTTTTATGTCAATAAATTTCTCGCTGAGTGGAGGCAATGTATTGATGACATTACCATATGTATATTCAGATTTGCAAGAACTGAAATGAGTGAAAGTATTTTGTTTTGGTTTTGTTATTTAACATGTATTGTTGGGGTTTGAGACATTGAAACTATATTCCTTTGATAATTAAGGTACACGAAGAGGTACTGCTTCATACAAGTGTTCGCAGATTCTATTCAATCATTCTTGTCATTATGTAACGAGGATGCGAGATATCTTTTCCAACAAGAAGAAATGACAAATGTCACACATCCAATTTTGATCTTTTGATTATCTTTGGTTGTTGATGAGCAAACCAAAACTACTAAATTTATACTTTCTGGTTCTAATGATTTTAGTTTTCTGTTTTGCATTTTACTATATTCATAGGATAATAATCACTATTTTCTCGCAATAATATATCAAACGTTATGGCGTTTTACCATAATTCTATATTAATGTCGTTATAAAAATTATACTCTTGACAAAATTAAATCAATAATTGTCTAAAACTTATAACCCTAAATGACTAATTCTGGTTTTAATCAACATACAACTCCGCGCCGGGCGCGGAAACCTCCCCTAGTTAGCACTAAACCACAAGTTTATTCTCGTGACAAATCTAATTTCTAATTAGCCTTATGGTTAATGTGTTCTTCAATTATTGCTTATCAATCATTTTGTCATGGATAGGTAATATTTGGATATAAATGTATTTGATAATAAATATAATGAAATTTTGTAAAATAAAAAATAAAATAAGTGAGAAATTTATGGACTTAGATATCAGCAACAATGACTATTTTTAAAACTGAGGATTATAAACAATAATTCTCATCTACTACGTCAAAATACTTTATATTATATAAAAGATGAATAATTGTAACATAAAGTTGTCACTGTTGGAGATGATATTTTGCTATTAACTAGATTTTAACCCGCGGTACACCGAGGGACGATTTGTTTTTAAAATTAGTGACTTTTAAATTGAATAGTTATATATTATATAAAAAATTTTGCAAATTGTATCATTTTATAAGACATTTATATTTTATAGTTTACAATTGTTATTAAGTAATGGTATAACACAAGACAATTTTTGTTTTATATAATTTACTTTAATCAGGATCACTCGATATATCTAATATTGGTTGTGTTAAAAAAGTAACAAAATGAAGATTTAACCGTATTGAAACAGCAGGTTAATGATGTTTAAAATTTTTTTTTGATTCAAATTCGTCCCATCATATAACCTTGTTCTGCAATATAACTCCGACCTACAATATAATTTTGTCCTGCAA